CTGCCTTCCGGCTTCCTCTGTCTCGGCTTGGGCAACCTGACAGTATCCCAGCCCTCGTGCCTCCTTCGGGTGTTATGGCAGCTAGCCACCGAAATGGTGTTACAGCTAAGCAATTTTCCAGGCAAGGTATCCACGTCAAAGGTTATGGCTCCGCTAAACTCTGTGATAAACTCCAAAGGCTCATTCCTTTATCCAGTCAACGATTCGGTTGAAAAGGACTGTGGACAAATGATACTGTGCACTGGAGTGTGGAACAAAGTCGCCGGATTCCTTTGGACGCATAAGCACCCGGAATTTGGTAACAGAGTGGGTGGTACTGCACAGGGCGTCAAGATCTACTGGACTGGGCGCACAGTTCGATAAAACGCGCTGCCACCTAAAGGGACGTCCCAACATTCACCACAGAGGGCATATCTTATCGATACATCCCTTACCGGGGCGGAATCCACCTTGCTTAATGTGTGTGGGGGGAGAGAGGGGGTAGGTGTACTGCAAAAGCGACCTGACAGAAGTTATGTAAGACCACCGCAGCAGTGCCCACCAAGCTGATGACTTGAGTTAATCCAGACTTTGGAAATGGTGAGAGAATCGAGGTACTCCTGTAGGCTCAAAATACTTCAGTTTTTCGTAGAGTAGAACGCTTGGCGAGGAGGATAGGGCAGCGCTGAGGCTCAGATCAGCCAAATTTAGGCATAACTGGGATCTTCATCCGTGTTTTTGTTTACCTGATTGTCCCCCTATTGAAACAACTATTCCATGACATGGTGACAAAGATACATAGAAGGGGAGGAGGAATGGCGCCAAAACGTAGGCCACGCAGCCAACGGACTCACCTGCATTCGGACGCGTACACAGTCGATCGGATTGACAAGAGTTGCCGAAGCGATACCAGCCAGAGGAGCTGCGATCAGCTGAACAGCCAACCGTGGCACTAACGGACTGCCTGAGCTGTTTGTGGCGTTCGAAGCGAACAATGTGTCATCTAGCTTGGAGACGGTAGAAGCAATCAGACCTGAGAAAAGAAAGACCATGAACCATTGACAGTCGGGTTGGATGCATCGGTCGTGATAGAGGTTGTCCGATTATGATCAATTCGAACTGAGAGACAAACTAAACGGATAGAGACGGGTGAAGTCTGAACAAAACGGGCTTCTGCAAGCATGGGAAGCTTGGCAGAATATCTTTTTTGAAGACGATGAGCAAATAATTCCTACAATACGGGGACGGTTAAGTGTGAAGCTACACTTTGGAACTCTTCACCTTTTCCACAGTTCGAATCTACGCAGCTACCCCGTTCACGCTCACCTATGCAACTCCTCGTGAAGTTCGCTTCGTTTTCTGTGGGTTCACCTTTACTCTATATATAATATCCGTGGGAAGTACAAGACTGAACGAGCTGACTGCAATCAGGACAAGAAAAGGTCGGTTACCTGTAACACGCATGGCTAAGGTATTCCCATCAAAGTCCTTCCAAACAAACAAGAGATTCAGTTGAGTCTCTCGTGAAAACAAACTGATTTAAACCACAGGCGCTTTCCGCCAGCCAAGACCTACGGTACGACTACTTCGAAAAGAGTCCAAATCTCCTGTTTTTGTAGATCTCTCTCTCTCCGGGGAGCAGGTTATTACCATAGAGGGCCATTCAACCAACGAATGTCAGCCCAGAATGGATATCACATCGAATGGATGCCGGCAGCGCCTTAGAAACCAGTAGGTCCACTTTATTCCGCCTTGCGGGTCACTGAAAGAGGCCGCCAAACACTCCGACGGCAATGAGAGCAGAGTAGAATACAGTGAATGGAATACACTAAGTAGGGGCCACAAAGAACGCACTGATCTGGTCAATTCAAAATATCAGAGAAGGTAGCCTAAACGCCAAAAGCACCATGGACGAAAGTCTTTGATCCAAAGAGTTTCAAATAGGACATTGGAGGTTCTCAAGTTTGTGAACCAACAAGTCCGGACTGGCGAGGTAACCACGCGATGAAGTAACAGAACTGTTTTCAAGAAGAAACGCCAGACTTTTAGAAGTCAAACTTTGCATTGGTCGTTGGAGGCTGTGTAACAGAACTGTTTTCAAGAAGAAACGCCAGACTTTTAGAAGTCAAACTTTGCATTGGTCGTCTGGAAACTGTTGGACGTTCAAAAATCAAGGAGACGGCAGTGCAAAAAAATGACTTACGGCAGAACTTGTCGTAGAATCCCCACCACATTGCGGAACTTGGCACAAAGGTAAACAGAGAAATAACGTATCCATTGTAGAAGCCGCGAATCCCGTGCTTGTGAGCCACATAGGACGTAACAGCACGAAATCGAGCCCAGCTGGTCGACAACTCGGATGAGGAGAGCCGGATTGGGGACAAGGCTCGAACTTGTTCCAGTCGGACGTCAGTCATGACCGACTGTCCGGACGACTTGGACTTCAGTTTTACCGACGGCGCGATAGACTGCGGGGCAGCGGACGAGCAGGGGGATATGGACGAAGTGCGACTAAGCACCATCAGATGTTGGGAGATCACATCCACCGGAACTAGGACGGTTTGAAGTAACATCGATGCGACACCACCACCGATAAACGACCGCTGGGTTTGTGAAAGTCCGGGAATGCCAGATGACATGTGCCGGACCGTCTCGTAGGTGGAAGCATAGAAAACACCTACAGGATGAAGAGAGACGTAAGAATGGTCCAGAAATTCCCTTTAAAATTATAGTAAGTGGTTTTCCACCCCTTACGAATCAGCCATAGTGTGCACCTGGTAAATTCTAATCGGGTTTGGTACGTAAGACTTTTGGAAGGAGACAAACATGACGGTTGCTAAGAAACGCTGTTCAACAACACCTGCCCATCAAGAGTCCACTGCCTCACATAAACTACGAGTGGTTCCACAAAACTCAACAGCGAATTAAAGGCGGAACGTTTGAATCACCCTACAGGTGCAACGCCTCATCACAATCCAAGTCTAATAATTCAACAAGAGTAGAATAGCTGTTCACTACTTCTTGCTTTTGTTCACACATTGTTCCCAAGAGTTTTCAGCAAACACCTTATGAATAGTGTATTACGTCTATATATGTATCGCAATAACTCGAATATCATACCAACTGAAACATGAGGTGGCCTGGCGCAGCGTATTCAGTTGAAGAAGAACCTCATAAACAAGAGATTCAACTGGGAATCAGGTGAGTCTCCCATCAAAACCAAATTGGTATGCAAATGAGTGTAGTTCGCTAGGTGCATTGTTTCACTCTTTAGGTTATGGAATGAAATGTTGAAATTTGATAACGCCCGAGAACTATGGTATTTGGTACTCATATACGTCATAACCTTTTATGTTGCAGAAGCTAACAGTTCGCTACAGGGAGCGGTCAACATGGGCTTCCAAACCGGGATGGACCAATCAGCAATGTAATCGATAGCGTTAATCGAACTGCTTCGCCGGCAACGATTTCAAATCGCACGCGATCGGCGGCCGATCGATAGACCCTGTCCAAACTAGTACGAATACCAAGAGAAAACACTTTGAGGGAAAACAATCCCACGGTAAGGTGTGCCACAACGAATAACTCCGTCAGACGTGCGGGGCACACAATTCTGCACTCCCACTTCAAGGGGTGAAAAAAGTGTTCCCATCGAATACCACAGGTTTATTCACCATAGTTGAACAACATCAGGTGAACGTTACTATTGCCGATCGACTAGGAAGTGAACCAATTTGGTGAATAAATGAGACCTGTTGGGCATGAATTACAGTTGGTGTAAATAATATGAAACGATCGCACAAAACCCGCGGAGAGTATGCTACTGGTTTTGCTTATTTGGATAGGGGTGGTGTCCCCGAAGCTTGAGATAGGCCCATCGGGAATTAAAACACCTTTTGACGTCCTTCGGCAGCAGACAGTATGCTCCGAATATCCCCTTGACGTCTAGCTGTCATGCCTTTCAGAGGGAAAGCACGAGGACTGAGATACAGTCTGATTGTTCAGACCCAGACAGGAGCAGTCGGGATACTGAGGTTGTGTTCGAACCACGGGGCTTCCGGTCAGTAAGTTCGCGCATTAACCACTGAGTTATCACAAACCCCGGAGACCTGAGATTCCGTTACCAAGCTATTCAACAAATTCGTTTTTGCGGTGTAAACTATGCGCGAAAATGTCAGTACCGTAGCGACCACGAAAGACCCCATCAAATTCCAACATGCGCATATCCTCATAATTTACGCGCGCTTGCAAACAAGCACAATTCTGTTTAGATTGCTAGTTTCCTGCCAAAACATGTATAAATGGTATTGTAACACGAAATCACGGGATCATACACGTTGAAACCAGGTGTGATATATTTCAATTTCAATAACGATTATTTCGAGACTCTTTGATGAACAGGGGGACAAACTAAGGAATAACACAGGCCAGATCGTGACTGCGTCGAAATCGGGCGTCCACGCCCTCGAATAAAAGTCGATACTCATATGAAAACAAATTACAATTCGCTTCAGAAGGTTGGTGAGACGGAATTCATAGGCTGTCACAGAACCAACACAACTAGTAAATAAACAAATAAGCTCGGTCATTTCAGTCTGAAGAACCGGTTTTCTCCTGACATAAAGTCCTGTCAGGTGAACTCCGGATGCGATGTAGCACCGGCTTGTGTTTCGACCATACATATCAATCGCGCTTCGTTCTCATCAGTTGCCAATGGTTACCAGTTAGGTTCAAAACAAAGCCACGTGAGGACATAAGGTTGACGGAAACTCAGGGACTGCGCCTACATGATGAGCCTCAAGAAAGGCGAAACCGATCGTGGGCTGTCAAAGAGTTTTCAGCAACCTTGTGAGTAGTTTCCTTCAAGAAAAAGCCACGTGAGCTTCGTCAGATGTGCCACACAACAACGAGGTGTAGCTCCATCGAAATTCGGGAATATCCAGGGTGAAACGCTGCGGAATCAATAACGCTGCAAGTAACTATTGTGCTGATAAACCTGACTTCTGCCACCCCGAAACTAGGCACGCAGAACAACACTTTTCTCATCAGGCGATAACTCGGCATGCTTAGTACACCAGAAGCGCATTTACTGGTCTTTCGAGAATTCAGGTAGAAACCTTCGTGTTCAGCGACACATCTTGCCACATTCCCAAAATGTGAACCGAGTAACTTCAGTGAATCCTGAAGCCGACGTTTCGGGATGAGAACCCATCCGCCATTCAGAAAGAAACGGTCGAGTAAACACCAACGATTGGTGAACATCACGAGGACAGGACATCGGCTAGATGTCGTCATCTCCAGAAACCACAGCGCAGAGGCACGGAAGACTCATGTCTAGATTACAAAATTTATGCTTCCACAATTATCTGAGCGTACTGTAAGCAAACACACACACGTTTATTATGGAACTTTGCAAAGACAAGGCTTGCAGCTCATGATTTGTGTTACAGAACAGAAGGTTTGGTTCGGTTTGAGTTGTGGGAAGTCTCGACTTTGAAGATGCAGTATGGTCTTGGCCCCACCTCTGGATTTTGGAAGATGTTCATCCGAACTATCTAGCTAATAAAATTTGGATTCTACATGATTTGCAAAAGGGTCTATTATGATTCTAATGGATTACCAAACAGTCTGAATGGAGACTCATGAGGCAGTGCCAAGTCCTCTCTGAAGATCACACATTCATTGTGTGTATCCGGTAGTTCTACGACGGTCGGATGGAAACCGCTAAACACTGGAGAATAGTTTCATTGTTTGAATGAAAGCTCTAGACAGTCCAGTTTCATCCTTCCTAGGGCACATCTGATAGGCTTAGTGTCGAACTTCCATGTTTTGCTGCCCAGCTGAATACCATTCACTTATCACTCTCTGTCCCCAAGCTCCATCATGGACTAGGCTCCTAAGGGACTGCAAAAACCCAAACGGGAGGCTGGGGCTCCAGGGATTCGGTAAATATGCATAAGAAAGTTCTTGGAACCCTAATCACAGTGCAGTACAGTCAGTGTTCGTGTTGATCGATTTTCCCTGGCGTTTGGATAAAATCGATAGGACAGAGGAGCCCCCTAAGTTGCTCATGAAATTCCGTTGGATTCAAACCTGTCGCTCAGAGAGAGAATAATTTCACAAGACGAGTGGGAAGTCGTCACTCAATGAGGCGGTCGACACGTGATGTGGATCCCGTGATTGAGGGATGAGTGGGACTATATCCCGTCCAAGTGCGAGCTACTTATACAGCTGATTAGCGGGTAAGTGTTCAAACCAATAGCCGGAAGTCGCGGGTTCCAGTCTCCATTGAGTTTCACGCAATACTCACTGCTCAAGCTTGAGATAGCTCCAGCGCCAGCTTACAGACCGGAAGGTTCGTGGTTCCAACCCAAATTCTGCCTCTCGATCTCCCCTGTCAAGGCTTGGGCAACTTGGCAGTATCCCAGCCCTCGCGTCTCCTTCCGTTGGTATGGCAGCTAGGCACCGAAAGGGAGCTGATCAATTTTCCTCACTTTTGACGGTTTTCAGCTTTTCAGCTTCACTTACAACAGAATGAGTTGAGAATGAGCAGTCTGTTCACTATCGGAAATAACGGTTGTGCGCTTTCACAGAGATCAAAACACATAACAACTTGTCTAGGTGGATCTGCTAAATCAATAACGAAAGGCACATGACAAACGATGCTCCTCGCTCCAGTTTGCTAATGAACTATGGTGTGGTCAGAACGAGAAACAGGTCGAATGATCGAACCCGCAGCGTCTACAAGCGCGCACACACGTTAACAGATGACAATCGGTTAATTCATACCAGGTGTCCGGTTGGCTTACGAGCACCTCTTCATCCTTGATCCAGGTCGACAAAGTAGCGCACGACTAGCCTCGTGACATGAAAAGCCGAAAACGAATACACCCTGAGGTCTTTCGGTCCAACTCAGTTCACCGGTAGTGGTGCCACAGTCGAAGCACGTGACTAACCTCAGCAGTCACGTGCGAATTACTTCTCAGAAATGCGATCCGTTTTACTGATCAGCCACTCTGTATCAGATCCAGACAATCTTTTGAAGTAACCAATGGCGACTGCCTATCTGCAGAGTATATTATAACATAGCAACAACAACCGCACGTGTGTTGTAGATTGGTAAAACCCGAACTAAACCCAGAAGTAGTCTCGTCATTCGGTTTACAGAGAACATCCAAAAGAATGAATTCAACAACGATATCGATCACTCTCATAGCTCAAACACCGACGACCGGTTTTCAAAAATCTTCCCGCTTTATCACATCGTCATTTTTTCGGTTGTATCTACAAAACTGCAGATAGTTTTTTGAATTTTGTGTATAGCTTGACAGACGCGTCAAAAGACTTTCAGTGTTTGACCATCGATGTC